CGCTCCCGCCGCCCGAGGCGGTCTCGCGTCCCGGGCCACCCCCACGGCGGCGGAGGAGGAGGAACCCATCGATCTGTCTTTGGCAGATGGGAAACGACTCTCGGATTATAGCATCGGGCCCAACTCCAAGCTCAACCTAGTGGTCAAACCCCTGCAGAAGGTGCTACTAGAAGAAGGCGAGGCCCAGAGGCTGGCCGACTCCCCACCCCCGCATGTCTGGCAGCTAATCTCCAAAGTCTTGGCCCGCCACTTCAGTGCGGCAGATGCCAGCAGGGTCCTGGAACAGCTACAGAGGGTGAGAAGGGTAACCCTGGGTATCCTCTCCAGGCCCAGTTCCTCCCAGCCCCTACCTCTTTTGCAGTGTATGGCTCCCCACTGGCAGCCCCTGAATCTTCCTGCCCTTTCTCTCCCCAGGATTACGAGAGGTCCCTGAGCCGCCTGACGCTGGACGACATCGAACGGTTGGCCAGCCGCTTCCTGCACCCTGAAGTGACTGAGACGATGGAGAAGGGCTTCTCCAAATAGCATTCTCGGAGCATGGGGAGGTGCCCAGTGCCAGGCCACAGCAGCATGTCGCACTAAGTGTGTTCACCTGTTGCAGTTGGGCTCATAATAATAGCTGGCATGTACCTGGCTCTGGCCACGTGCTAGGCACTCCTCACAGCTTGACCTGGGTTTGCTTCCACACCCTCAGAAGAGGTGAGCCAGCACAGCAGAGGCACTGGCGATGAAGTGGCGGAGCCCCAGTCGGAATCCAGCGGCTTCTGAAAGTGCCTTGGTGTGAGAAGGAGGAAGGGGCTGCTTGGAGAGCTGGGCTCTGGCATGTCATGTTTAGCCCACTGAGAATATACCCTCAGGTGACTCCTTCCCAATCCTGAAAGGGAAAGCAGCTGTCACCTGACCTCTGGCAGGTCCAACATAGCCTTCAGCTTACCTCTGCAGGAGGCCAAGTGACAGCCAGCCCTGGAACCACCACACCCCCACCAGCTGCTGCAGCCAGTGTGCTTTCGACAAATGAAAAAGCAGGTTGGGGCCAGGGAGTCAGCAAGTCACCCCAGCTCTGTGATGTGACTTCGGGGGAGTCTCAGTGCCACTTTGGTCCCCAGCCACGGACTTTATACAGTGAGGGCCACTCCCCGACCTGAGTCAGTGTCCTTCGTCTCACAGTGCCCCCCTCCCTTCTGTTCAGTAAACAAACTGAAGCCAAAAGCGAAGCAGTGGCCAAGTGTGACCCAGAGATGGGGTGTCCTGGCCCTTAGTGACACAGCTCCTCTCTGGGCACCCTGTCTGCTTGTCTCCTCCAGGAAGCGTTAGGGCTGATGGGTGACTCAGCAAGGCAATGTCAGGACTGGGACTGGGCATAGGCCTTTGCCCTCGTCCCCAGCACTCGCCTCCCTGTGGAAGATGAACACATCCCAGCCACCTGTGTACAGGCGCTCACTTCGTGTGCTCCTTGTTGCCTGAGAGGAAACCTTGGGGTGCCAGGGTGGGGACAGAAACATGGGCTGGGTTCCGGTTCCTTCTCCACTGTGCCCTGTGCATGGGCACAAGAGGACATCTAGCCACCTGCTCCTTGGAGGCCCCCAGGGGTGGTAGAGGCTAGAAGGAAGCCACAGCAGGAGGACGCCACTCTGGGCCCTCCACCCTTGCCAAGTGAGCCGCTCACAGTGTGGTCGGGGCTGCACGTGCTGGAGGCCCTCCTGCCTGGGCCTGATGGGGCAAATATTGGGTCCCCGGGCTGGAAAGATGGACAGAGGCCCAATGGGTGAAGGCTTTGAAGAGCACACAGAAGCCCCTGGCCCCCCACGAGAGCTGGAGAGCCATGTGTATGGCTTCAAAGCCACCTATGGCAGCGACACACTTGTGAGCGTGGGCGGCCTGCAGCTCAGGTGATACATTTACCAGTGCTCTTGTTTGCGTGGTGCCAGGAAATTGATTTTGGAAAATGAAATAACATTAAAGGTGAATGTGAGACTTCCACTTTTATCCAAAAGGAGCTATATTAGCTAGGCTGTTTCTGATATCCAATCATTGGTTTAACAATAAAGGCAATTTGTTTAATCAGTAACGGAAATTTCTTGGCTTATGAAAGTGAAAAGCCCAGTGGTATCGGCATTGGCAGCAGGGGAGCAATTCTTCCAGTGTCTTCCTGCCTCCCTCTGCGTTTGTGTCTGCCACATCCCAGGCCACCACCTCCAAGGATGAAAAGGTGGCTGCCTGCAGCTTCCACAGAATCCCTCCCTCACTGCCTCACTGCCGGAGCAGCACCTTCTCTGTGGCACCTCTGCTGTCTCAGATGCCTCCAGCAAATAAACACCCTTCTTGTTGGTCGGAACTGGATTGTGCGTCCAATCATTTTGGCCGGGGTAGGGCGTGATTATCCGTCAGGGCTGGCTTCCTGGAGCTAGGCATGGGGTCACTTCCCTGGACACACATGGGCTGTGCAAGGGACAGAAGGCTCTGGGGGAGGGCTGGATGAATGGATGTCCTCAATGGTGGCAGCAAATGGCAGCTGTCCACTACAGGGGAAATGCATGTGTCATATCAGGGCCACCTTACAGGTAGTGGAGGAGAGGGCTGGAGGCATCAAGATCACACAGGGAAAGCATTTCCTGAGGCTTGGGTTAGGGAAGGCACCAGAGAGAGGAAACACTGCAGGGATGGGAGACAGGAAGTGGGGGCATCATTAGAGGACACTGGGGACTCTGCATGAAGATGGAGCAGCCACAGGGTGCAGCCCCCCAATGCTGAGATCCTTTAACGGGGGTCAGAATGTTTACTGCAGGTGCTGTGCCCCTCTGAGCCAATTGTCGGCCCTGAAAGGTAGCGCCAAGTCATCCACTGCCCCCTGCCCGGTGAAGGGCCCTGAGATCCACCACCTGCCCCTCAGGGAGGGGTCTCGGGACAGTTTCTGACCCTGCGGCCATAGTGTGACTACGATGACATCAGGAGATAGCAGCTCTCTCTGTATCACTTCTTGGGGGAGCTCATCTAGCTTTGTTTCTATTTCTGTGCTTCACTCCCATGTATATGTCTCATCCCAGCCTCTCTCCTGAGCTCCAGCCCATGTCTTCCAGACAGCGCCTGACTTTGCTGCAGACACCCTGCTCATCACTGAGTGCCCCCTGTGTCCCAAGTGCTGGCAATCCTGAGACTGGACGACGCAGTCCCTTCCCTCTTGGCACTCACGTCCAGCACTGGCCAGCTCCTCAGCACACACATTTTCTCCATGACCCACCTGGATGAATGGCAATGCCACTCAGCCAGGCTTCTGAGGGAGCAGGAGGCCATCTTTGCCTCTCCCAACTAGCCATTCTCCACAGGTAATCAGGCAAGAATATTTTTGGAAGCATCCAAGGCAGCTGATACTGTATCCTTTCCTCCTCTGACCACACTCACCCCCAGCCCCGCATCTAGCGGCTGGCAGGGTCAGGCTGCCCCACTGCTGGGGAGGCTGTTTGATCACATGGCCCAGGTGGCGGCTGCCAGATCTCTCCCCTGCAAAGATGCAGTTTCCCTTCCTGATTCACAGGTAATTTGGGGTAATATTTTGAGACTTTGTGAATATCCTGTCCCCAACAACCTTTCAGCTAATGCTTTTGCCATCCAGTGACAATCCTTGCCTGAATCAATTTTTTTTTTGAGACGGAGTCTCGCTCTGTCGCCCAGGCTGGAGTGCAGTGCAAGCTCCGCCTCCCAGGTTCACGCCATTCTCCTGCCTCAGCTTCCCGAGTACCTGGGACTACAGGTGCCCGACACCATGCTCAGCTATT